CGTCTAGCTTATAATTAGTCACGACAATATTGTGTATGAATTTGTATGCCTTACAGCATAAATAGGGCTGTAGCCATTACCCTACCATCTCAAACAGGCTTAACAGGAACAAATCCATTGAAGGCAATTATGTCTTTTATGGTGAAACAAACAGCCTCTAATAAGAAGCAGTTCAGAAGCACAGCAAAAAGAACACCAATGAGGAGATTAGATATTAGTGCAGCAGCCAAAGGTTTTAAGCTTCCAAAAGAGGAAAGGGCGTGAACTGTCAGGCTACATCAAATTATCCTCCATATGGGAATGTACGTGAGTCCTTTCTCAAGTGTCTTTTACAACCTGGCTCACAGGTTTTGGTTATTTTATTTAAACATACAAACATAAATATAAAGCTACAACTGTTTTAGTATTAACTTAAAATGGTGCCCATAGAGAATTCAGAGCCAAATGTACATAACTTTGCAAACTGTCAATTGCTAACGCTTCTAAGACTGTATTCCATTGAATTTTATTCACTTGTAAAATACAGTTTCTGGGGTTTCCCTTACTTGTTACAAGGAGTAGCTAGTAAGTATCAATATTAATAAACACTACACAATAATCCTGTAAACAATAGTAGCAGGCAGGACAATTTTCAACAGTAACAACATCTAACTTAATTGGGAAGCAAGATTACCTTCCTAAAAAGAAAGCAGTTTAGCAAATTCATGCACAGAAATGTACATAGCTTTCTCCCCAACACATTGGCCAACCAATTCAGTGATTTCATTAGCTTATCATATATGGCACAATTGGAACCCATGATGTACAGCATTATATTAAAAGGCAGATCCTGAGCTAGCTCATTGCTAATAGGAAATAAAAGTGTCCAGAACAATTATGCCACGCTGACATCAACATGACACATGTATTATAACATCATCATGCTAGTAACGTGAATCATGTGGTCATAACATAATGCAAAATTATGTGAGTACATAATTTGTGATACATACAATATCACTTGTTCCCTCCTCTTATATTGCCCCCACTGTGGGCACCCACAACGAGCACCTATTCATATGCATCTCTAATTTGTTTGGAGTTTATGGACAAACTTAAAAAGTTGAATATGACGTTCAAATGAACTTAACAGCTTAGAATTTCATATCACTATGAAGGAAAAGTAAATAAAATAAATCACACCCATTAAAGCAACTGTGCAGTATAGAAGCAGGATATGCTTAGGGACCCTAACACTACAGGGTACACTATAGCAGTAATTATTGATATCATGTGTCTATCCCTCAAAGAGGTCATAAAGTTCATACAAGCTGTATTTTCAAAAGCCACTAAAGATATATTATGGTTTATTGGATTTTGATTTAGTGTAAATCTAATCAGTGTGGTGGGAAAATAATTGTTCATGGTTATTGCATTGCAACAAATTCAGCCAACTCTGTATATTTGAACAGTGTGAAAATCAAGTCATAAAAGATTCCCTGACTGGTTCCCTGGAACTATTCTACTCAACCAGATGACCATTACTGTGGCCACATACATATGTTCTAAGCCAGAGGTTGCCAACCTTTTGACCTCAGGGACCACCAAACTCATAATTTTAAATCCCATGGACCAGAGACCCTGGGAAAATCTCCCAAAAAGTCTGCAGGAAAATTCCCCACTCCGTTTTCCTACCGATCAACTATTCTTAATTTGGGATCGCAGAATACCGTCTCCAGCTCCGTTCTCAGGGGGAGAGAGACTTTTGGCTTCATGCAAGTCTTTCTTTCTCTCCCCCAAATTCCACCAGAATTGAGTCTTTGTGAGACTTGTCACACTGACGCAGCCTCTTGCAGGGTCCCAAGGACTTATTTCTGATGGAGTTTAGGGGAGAGAAAGAAAGACTTTTGCTGCTTTCCTTGAGTGCAGCCAAAAGCAGAAGAAAGAAGTGGAAAGAAGCAGCCAGGCGAGGTACATGGGGAGAGTGGAGCAAGTCCCCCCCTCCACCCTTCCCCCCTCCCCTCACTACCTCGTGTTGTTCGCAATGCAAGCAATGCAAGCCTTGTGTTCCTGCAGGCCATGTGAGTGGCACAGCCTTGTGTTCCTGTGCAGCCTGGATTAATTGCTTTGGGGGGAGTGCTTTGGGGGTGACATTTCTCTGTGGACCACCAAAATTTTCTCATGGACCACCAGTGGTCCCTGGCCCACTGGTGGGCAACCACTGTTCTAAGTCACACTATGCATGATTTAAATCAGGGATCTCCAACCTTGGCAATTTTCCGACTTGTGGACTTCAATTTCCAGAATTCTGGAAATTGAAGTCCACAAATCATAAAGTTGCCAAGGTTGGAGACACCTGATTTAGATTACTATCCAAAACCACAAACACATTACTTGAACAGTCAATCCCATCTACATTTCATAAATATACTCCATTATTTACAATTGCATGCTAACAATAATTATCTTTGTTCCCTAGAAAACATTCCAAAATTGCATGATGGTTAATTATTGTAGTCAGAATAAGTAATATTATACCATTACTATTACCTTGTCTAATTTATCATGGAAATCTATCACTTCTTAGCAGCATGTTGCATTTTTAAGATATGTGCATAGTTCCCCACTAAAACTTCGATGTGAAAACAATGATTCTGGTTTCATTAGATGTCCTTGTAGTTTGAACACTATATTTTAAAGTAGTATTACATCAGCCAGAAACTATTTTAAAAGAAATTTACATACAGGCACAGTTTAACTTTTGGCAAAACTCCCAGCTGGAATTAGAATTAACAATCTATATATCATAAAATTTAAATTGCTAGGGAACATGAGTTAGAGAATGCTATGGTACTCCTAACCCTGCTTTGTTTGGCCTCTGGGACCAGAATCCTACTTTACACAGCAGCACTTGTTACAGTACACAATCCTCTGACAAGGTAGAAGCCAACAAGCTTTCTAAGCAACCTGTGAAAATATTATATACAACAATGTGGATGATGACATTGGCTTAGTGGTGCTGTAGGACCACATTATAGTGACACCACTCAATTATACTTGCAAAATTGTACATTTTCTAGAATAAGATTTTGTGAGCAGAGCAGTGCTGATACTGGTTATTTAAGACATATAACTAACCAAAGTAAAAATGTATTTTCATTAAATTATGAACTACAGTACTGTAATTTAAATAGAAGATCTTGCCATTCTCCTTTAGCCCGGTAGTGCTCTGTAAGAACCTAACCGTACATAAATACTGCAGTCTTCCAAAAGAAGCTTGAAAAGAATAAATGTATCACCTGTGTGTATTAATTTCTTCTGTATATAGCAGTTTGAACGCATTTATGATGATCATATTGATGATCATATAACCATAAGAAGGCAAGATGTGCAACCTAGGAAGTACCTATTTTTTTAAAAAAAAGCAGCTGGCTGCACAACACCATATGTGTACTTCATGAATATATGATAACTTGATTACAGGGCAATCCAATTCTCTGGTTGCACCTTTGCACACCAAAGCCCATTTTCATGGGAATAGAAACAGCTGCTTTATAAAAAAAAGATCAATTGTCTCCTCAGCTAAGTGGGAAAAGATTTCCAAGGTCTTTCCTGGACCTAACCTGGAGATGCCAGCACTAAATACCCTAAACTCCTTCCTAGCCAATAGAAGCAAATGGCTTGGAAATCTGGAGGAGGGGGGGGCGGGGGCGTAGTTGAGCCAAACATCTGAAGCTGGATGAAGCAACAGTCTCACTCAGGATAAGACAGTCTATCTTCCTGAGCAGGAGGGGAAGTTACTCACTGTCATGGGCTGAAATGAGCTTTAACAGTTTCATACCAAAAGCTTCAACATGAGGAGGGGAGAGGGGGAAGAAAGGAACCCTTCATGCATGCAATGGGGGGGGGGGGGGGGGAGATCCACCACAAAGTGAAAGGGGAGATAGCAGAGTCCTTGGTTAAGCTGGAGAACATCTCTGAGGTGACCCTTATGATGCAGATAAACCTCCAGGTGGCCTCAATGACTCCCGAAAAGAATGCAAATGACCAGGGGTATAAAGCCTTCCATTCCCCACCACCTAGTCAGAGCTGAAGAAGCTTCTTGGATGAGAAGTGAAACGTCTTCAAGGAAAAACCAGAAAGTCCAGTTGCGTCTCGCGGGGGGGGGGGG